CTCTCTCTCTCCCTCTGTCTCTGCCCCTGCCCAACTTTCTCTCTCTCTCTCAAAATAAATAAATAAACTTTACAAAATTAAAAAAATTCTGGGTGCACCTGGGTGGCTCATTTGGTTAAGTGTCTGACTCTTGGTTTCAGCTCATGTCATGATATCATGGTTCGTGGGTTTGAGCCCCACACAGGTTCTATGCTGACAGTGCAGAGCCTGCTTGGGATTCTCTCTGTCCCTCTCTGCCTCTTTGTCTCTCTCTTCCCCCCTCTTTCAAAATAAATAAACTTTAAAAAACTTCTTGTTAGAGTAAGGATTAATATTAAATTATTTTGCTTCTTGATCTAAAAAAGAAGTTGAGAATAGAGATTTCTTTAATCCAATCCCATAAACAGTAAGGGGAATTATCTCAGATTATAACATTTGCAGTTGATGGAAACTGGAGCACAAAGCTCCAGCTTCTAAGCCAGTGTTTCACTGTGTTCATCTATGAAGTTTTTGTTACCTTATTTCCTTGGAAATAAATCTTCTTAAATGCTCTGGTATAAATAAACATTAGTATTAAATAAATACTAAAATATTTTTTCACAGACGAATGATATCAAAGAGAAAGTTAAAAATATTCATGGTTATATGAAGGATATTGAGAATTATATTCAAGATGGGAAAGATGAGTATAAGAAGGTAATTTAAAACTTAAAATTATTTATTTACTTATAATTTTTTTTCTTGTAAAAATTCTTCAAAGAATTTTCTTTTTTGTAGCAAAAAGAAAATGAACTCAATAAAGTGATAGCTCAACTAAGTGAATGTGAGAAACACAAAGAAAATATAAATAAAGAGATGGGAATCATGAGACAAGATATTGACACACAGAAGGTAGGTCTTTTTTGTTAGTAGCTTATGATATCACTTATGCCAGTCTTTATGTTTTCATTTTTACTTTTACTTTCAGTAGATCCGTTGGATAAACATACATACAGAGAAAAGCAGTTGTAAGAACATAGTCTTTTCTTCCTTTCAATTTTATTTCTCTTAAAAGACACATTTAGTAAAAGTATAAACATAAAATATTTTAAATATAAAATTTTAAACATAAAATTAAACTAATTGTATAAATTAAAATTCTCCCTCCCCTCTGCCAATTCCCGGTCTCACTCCTGGATGTCATTACTGGTAACAGTTTTTTGTTCGTTCTTATAGAAGTTGCTTATTCATATCAACAGGTGGGTAGATCAATATCTGTGTGTACGTGTGTGTGTGTGTGTGTGTATATATATATATATATATATA